GTACCTGCCTGAGAATGGTGTGAAGGTTTCATACCAATGATCCACCCTGCCCCACTTCACGTTCTCTGTCAGTGGCAAATGGAGAGGCTGTTTAGGGAGAGCCTGCAAACCTGGGGGCTGTTTGAGGTCTGTTGGGGGCTGTTTGAGGCCTATTCCTTTCAGACCTGTGTCCACAAACCTTCTGTGTTTATGCATGTCAGAAGGCACACCTCTGTTTTTACCAGCTGGTTATGGACCATGTTTACTGTGAGTCTCTCTAAACCCTCTGTGAACCCATTGATGCTGTCTGCTGCCACAACATCCTATGGCAATAATTTCCAGAAGTTTATCATCCCCTGCATAAAAACCCAAAAGTACTCATATCTGTCAAGCACATCTAAAATTTTCCAGTTCCAAGTTTCCAGTAATTCTTGGGGCATTTTGCACCTCCTTAGCTCTGAACAAGGAAGCTGAGTCACAGCCCAAAGCCACCAAGAAGCCTCAGATGACATGTTTCTTGCTGTGTACTCCAAGCCTGCACTTTTGTGGGTTGCTGGTGGAGAGTTGAGGGCTCTCCTTATTAAAAACCAGGTGGGGAACTCATTGCACCAAACTCATAATCTAAAAGGCAGGGGTCCAACAACTAATCCAGGTATCTGTATATAGAAGTTACAGATGCAGCACCAGCAGATTATTCACTCTTTTCTAAAACAGGTATCTCAGATTGCTGCTGTGAGTCACTGCACGAACACCTCCCTGTCTCTCTTGACTCTAAAGGATGCTTATTTAACTGGACTGGATTTAATACAGAAGTTTAAAATTGCTGAAGTTAGTTGAAAGTGGCCCTCACCATCTTTGCCCTGTGAAAAGAGACACCAGAACTCTAAGTCATCTCAGAAGAATTTTGGCTGCAGTGGGATATGGGGCAGGTGAGTGCACAGTAGCCTGACACTCTGTCACCTGCTTGAGGTAGGAAAACATCCTGACTTCAGTCCCAGCTGCAGTATTGCAGGGCTTTTAAATTCATTTCCTTGGTTTTCTAATGATGCACTTCCCAGTGGTCACCCAAGAATCATGTATCTAAGCATAGTTTCTTTGGGATTCAGGGTCAAGCCACATCTATTTTAGGTGATAACAGTCAAGTGCATGATATCTGGATCACCAGTATTTAATTGGGCAGCTCAAAAGGGCAAGGAAAAAGAGCAATATTATGACTGTGTAAGTCTCCTCCTGTTTCTGAACGTTAAAAATCACATGGCAGAAATCTCTCCTTTAATCACATCCCAGAATAGGGTGATTAGCTTAGAAACCATTAATTTTATATATAAGCATGACAGAATGTGAAACCTCTCTAGAAACAAATGGACAAGTATTTACGATCATTTTGTCAAAATGTCAATTTTGCTCAGTCGGTTTATAGAGTCACTGAAGGTCACAGACATTTCGAAATAGGTAGGCATTTCTTCAGACTCAGTGCTGAAGACCAGGGGTTTGTAAAAAGCTATTTTAGGAAAACTGAAAAAAAAGTAAAGCAAGCAGATGCGTGTTTGTTACAGAGCCAAACTGGCATGTAACAGCTGTCGTCGCAATTGTCTCCATTATGAAATACTGTTTGTTCTGCAAAGCGCTGTATCTTTCCATGCAGTTTAAAAAGAAATGAAAGGCATAGCTTTACAGGTTGCTTTTTAAGACTTCTGAGTAAGCGAAAATTTGTTTTCATGTAATGCCAACTTTCAGTATAGACACAAAGTGACCAGATTGTAACACAACTAGTATTTAGCTTCTCTCCCAAATCTAAGTTATTCTACTTTATGGCTGATACTTGTGTTTATTTAGGTGTATGTATACATATTTGACTGAGGCTATGTGGGTCCACATGTGTACCGGACTATAATCTTTTGTCTCCTCATTTTTTATGCCATCTTTTTAAACCTAAAACCAGAGCTCATTTATAAATGAAAGCTGAAGTGCCTTACTTCCCACGACTCCAGGAGCTGATGCTTTATGAGGAAGTGCTAACGTAGGCAGCAGCTGGGAGTGATTGTGCTGAATTAAGAATGGGTGAGGCTCAACAAGGGTGGCAGGAGAGCTGCTGCCCCGTTGGAAAGTCATCTCACAGAATCACTAGGACTAGAAGGGACCTCTGGAGATCACCTCGTCCAACCCTTTGCCAAGGCAGGGGCACCCACAGCAGGTTACACAGGAATGTAATCCAGGTGGATTTTGAACGTCTCCAGATGGAGACCCCACGACCCCCCTGGGCAGCCTGTTCAGTGCTCTGCCACCCCCAGTGTAAAGAAGTTCTTCCTCATGTTGAGGTGAAACTTCCTGTGTTTTAGTTTATGGCCACTGCTCCTCATCCTGTCACTGGGAACCACTGAAAAGTCTGGCACCATAGTCGTGGCACCCGCCTCTGAGGTATTTACATGCATTATGAGATCCCCTCTCAGTCTCCTCGTCTCTCAGCTCTCACATGAGGGAGATGCTCCAGCGCCTGCCCTGCTGCCGCCCTGCTCCCCCTGCCCCCGTGCGGCCCGCGCAGATGGGGCGCGGCAACCCCCCCGCACGCGGCACCTCACCCGGGAGGTACGGGCCCACACACACCGCGCGGCTGCGCATGCGCCCTGCCCCGACTCGGGTGAGGCAGGCTGAGAGCGGGCGGCGCGCGCGGATTGGCCCGCGCAGGTCAGGCGCTGTGGGCGGCGGTAAACACGGGCGGGTGACCGGCAGTAACCCCGGGCCGCGGTCGCTGTCGCTGGCCTGTGCAGTCAGGCGCTAGCGGGACGGCCACAGCAGGGATGGCGGCAGGTCCCTGCTGGCACTCGGGCAAGGGGCACAGCAAAACGCGGCCTCTCTGGACAGAAGCGCTTGTGGGCACACCCTGGGGGACGGGCTGGCACCCACACTCCTGCAGCTGCCCATGGCAGCCATGCACCAGAGTGCTGCCCACCAGGGCAGGGTGGCCGCCGAGCTCCCCAGGAGAGGAGTTCCCACTGCGGCAGGGCTAACCCTACTTGGCTAGGTGTTAAACAGATGTCACCCACCCCATCCCTCTGGCACACAGGGTTGCTGTGGTGCCGACGCTGCGCTCTCCTGGGACTTCGTTCCCCCCCACTCAGCCTCGGGACAGCTTTCCCCCTGCTCCCCAGGAGGTCCCACAGCCTTCCTGCTGCCCTGTTCCTTCTTGGAGGGTCAGCAGCAGTTGTTTCCTCACTGTGGTGGGAACGCATGGCTTGCTGCAGAGCTGGCACCTAGCCCTGCTGCTGGGCAGCTCCTTGTGGGACCACTGCCCTCCCTGGGGCACCCTTCTGGGTCCTGTTCCCGCGGTCCTGGCCTGGGTATGCAGGGCTCCACACAGCTGTGCTCACTGCATCCTGTCTCTGGGAAAGGGGTTGCAGATGGAAACTGGTGTCTCCCCCAGACACCACACTGGCATCTCCTGTGTGCTATGCATGGACTGAGAAGATGCAGCAAACCTTCTGCTTCACTGTTGACAGCTAGTAACCCAGGCCTGCAACCCTCCTTGAACTCCCTCAGCTGGGTCTGAACAAGTAGGCACTTGTTTGCTTGTCCTCTCCTACCCAGCAGCACTGGCTGGTGTGTTAACCCTTCCCTCACCTTCCCAGGTGGGTGGGACACCTTCAGAGAAGCAAAGTTGGGGTGCATTGGAATTGCAACCCAAATTCATGGATTACATAGGCAACCGTGTAAAGCACTCAGGCAATGAGCTGAAAATGCTGAGCTGGTACTGCTGAAGGGCTTGGTAGTATAGGAGAACATATTTTGGGCAGGGGATTTAATAATAGTGTTTAACAAAGAGGGAGAGGCTGAGATTGGAGTTCCACTCTCATGAAGTCCAGACTGAGGGATCATTAACTTTATTTTTAGACTTTGCTGAATAATCAGGAGGTTTGAAGATTTGCCTTCTGTGTTTCACTTGTTTTAGGAGAGGCTCTGCCGGCGTAGCTGGGATCAAAAGTGCACTGGATTATCCGAAGCAGCAGCTCTGTGTCACTTCCAGGGATGTACTTCTATGCCTCAGTGATGAGCCACAGCATTTCATTTGATTTTTTTCCAGAGCCCAGGGCAGTCAGACGTAACATTGCCTGGGCTGGTCACACACCTCCACCTAGGAGAACGTGGCTCCTGGAAGAGCCAACATCTTCCTCCCTAAGGTTTCTTCTCCCTCCCTTCTTCCCTCCCTCCCTCCTTTGCTGTCCCTCGTGCTCTGTTTTGCAGCACGCTGCTCTGGCCTTCCCATCCAAAGGGCTTTCCAGCAGCCACAGCTGGAAACAAAAGCATGGACCAGTTTTGCTGAGGAATTCGGCATGCCGGCTGCAAGGAACTGGCAACACCAGCAAACACAGGCTGGACAAGGGGTCTCCAGCTGCTGCAGGTGGTAGTAATCCTGCAGATGAGGCTGTCCCCTCTGCATGCTCCTGCATGGAGCAGGTCGGTGCCATGCAGTGATGGCCTTATTCTCCAGTATGATCGGATGTTCATTAGGTGGTCGGGTGGGGAAAGCAGGGAAGCTAACATTGCTAATGTGAGATTTGGTCCAGGAATTTCCCCCTTCCCTTTTCCTCCAGCTGCCTGAGGGGTTCGGTGAGCAGGGACGCTCGCTCCCGCAGGAGGAAAATTCCCCCTCATTGAGGTTAATGAACCCGCCTGGCGTGGTGGCGGCCGTGCCTGGCTGTGAGACAGGCTGCCGGTATTACGTGTTATGCTGCATGTATATCCATGAGCCGCAAGGCTCTGGCAAGAGGCACCGGCTGGAATTAACCTGCAGTAACCCCGCTGCGCAAGGGCAGCCTTTGCGGGGTGTGCCTGCCCGGGCTGCGCTGGAGTATGAAAGCCATTATAATCCGCTCATTCATGGCGCTTAAAGAGCCAGAGGAGTTTTTTGCTTGTTCTCCTAGAAGGGAGGATGGGTTGGAAACAGTAATGCACAGCGTAATCCATCCTGATGGGGCATCGTGTGCTTTACCGAGCCCAGCTCACAATGTCATCAGCACAACAAGTTTTAAAGTAACATTTTTATTATGAACAAATAAAATTTCAGATCAGCACAACCAGATACCTGTTTCCATATTAGTAGAAATTATTTCAAAAAGTTGTTTTTCTTTTCCAGTACACAAAACAGAGATACTACTATGCAGAAATCCCTACGCTGTGAAAAACCGTATCCTACTCACATTTCAACAGTGACAGAGCTTAGACAATGTGCAGATTCAACTTTCCAATCCTTCCCTGAACACCCAACACTTGGACATCTGCGCTTTACAATACCAGCGGGGCTGGGAATGGTTTTGGAAAACAAACCAGTCCATGCTTCTGCCAGCAGCGGTGTGCGTGTGGTATGTATGCCTCCCTCCTCTGTGCTCAGCCTCACTGCACTGCTGGGAGGCAGGGTGTAACCCCCTGCGACAGATAGGGAAACTGAGGCACCGAGAGCTTTTAACTGACTTTGTCCCAAGTCACGCAGTGAGTGGGCAGCTGAGCTGGGAACAAGTCCCAGGAGAACGGCTGCTCTAGCTACAAGGTCCCACTGCTGTCTTCTCTGCTTCCACCTCTTACAGACTCATTTAAGCTAAACATACAGACAATGCATCCAGGATACAAACATGCCACCAAAAATATATATATATATTTATAGGTGTATATATATATATATATCTCAAAGTTCTACTTAAAGTGTTGTATCTGTTTCTTAATCTAACAAAAATTCTAACTCAAATACATTCAAAATCACCTGCACCCACAGTTCAATGTAGGCAATTAAATAATCAAGAAACCCCTCGAATGTTCATAATTCAGCAAAAAGAAAAAAAATTATGGCAAATAGCTGTCAATACTCCTATGTATATTAAAGAAAGATTTAAGGCACCCAGAGATATTTGCCAGTCTACTGTTAAACTGACTGCGCAAACACCAGGACTGTTTGGTTATACTCCTCAGCTTCCACCCTAATTCCAGATTATGGACCCAAATCAGTACTTGAAATTTCAAAGGAACCCTTGATATCAAACCCTGCTTCTCTGCTGAGAGGATGTGAAATACTGCAGCATGTCACAGCATGCTTCCCTACCGTGGGGTATGGCACACAACACCTTAAGGGCACCAGGAGCAAGGCAGTCATTCTCCTTACCTTCTCCCCTCCCCATACCCATTTCAAATTACTGGCAGAAGCAAATTCATCCTCTCTGGAGACTTCTATGAGTTCATAGAGATGTAGGCTGTGGCCAAGCCAGCCTGCAATTACAGAGCTAACAGTGTTTTTCCTTTTTTAGAGGGCGTTTTCTTCTTTTTCAGTGGTAAGATACAATATTAGCCACAACCCCCTTTGCTTCAGCCAGTCTCCAGGCAGTCACAAGCCCCAGAGCAGTGAGGATGCTATCTTCTAACACTGGGAACTGAAGGGCTCCCTGCTCTATTCCTCCCTGATGTACCCTTGGCTGAACACCACATAGCTGCTAATGTCTCAAAACCTTGATAGGTCCCATTGCTGAGCAACAACAAGGCCATGGTGGTAGCGGGGGGAGAAACTGAGAGGAGAAAGACTTCTTTTCTGAGTAACAAGCGTGCTTTTGTTAAGGAGAACATCATAGGCTGTCCTAGCTCCTGGTGAGCTTCACAGCAGCAAGAGAAAGCAAAGGTGCAGACTCGCTCCTGTGAAGCATGCCTGTGTGGTACGTGTCAGAGCTGAGGTGAGGAAGTTGGCATCTGCTCTGTCTCTGCCCTCCATGGCCTGCCTGAATAAGGGAGATGCTGCAAACCCCAGTCCAGTATCACCTCATTCCAGCCACCTCTTGTGCTTTCCGCCAGCTCCATTTGATGCATTTAAGCAACAAAACCAATACTATTACTACAACTAATAATAATAATAAAAATTAATAGTAATGGGGAGAGTTAAGGGGGAAAAAAGAAGCACATTCAGCCCAGTGATGGGCTTAGGGGCCACAAGCCCAGAACCTAACCCACTGCCTGAACTCAACCTGTGGTCTCTGCAACTCACAGGAAACAACACACACAAGGGTTTTTTCCCCAGCACTCTCCAGCTTCGTGCCCACATCATATCAGTGATATAACTGACCTTTCTGCAGCCACCCTCGCTGCCTGTCTCGCCAGTGAAAGAGTGAGGTGGTGAGATGGCCCGCTGAGGGGGCTGAGAGGCAAGATAAGGGACTTAGGGATGAGCAGGGAATGGCAAATGACCCCAGTGGACCCTGGGCAGGAAAGCCTGGAGCTGGCAGACACTGGCAGCAGTGTCTCACCTTGGAGGTCCTGACTCCCTTGAGACCCCGTGCCGCCTGGCCCCATGTTGGTGCTTCTCAAGCACTTGTTTATCGACTGAGTGGAGCCCCTGATGATGGAGGGATGCTCTTGCAGATACTCTCCTCCCTATGCCTGCAGGTGCTCCCTTACGCTGTCCCTGCACTCAGCACAGGATGTGGATGTGCAGGGCAGACATGGACATCAGGACATCTGCCTGCCACCCAGCGGGGACCCTGTTTCTCCAGCACATAAAGCAGCTTAACTCAGCCATGGAGCTTTGGTTTACATCCTTTTCCCCTTATCTGTTTTGGCAAAGTCCTATTTGCCAGCAAAATTCTCAGTGGTGGTGGTGAACAAAACTACCCCAGCCTGGTGCCATCCTATGGCACCAGTGGCACACCCCTCCAACTATCCCCCTCATCACTGTGGCTCTGCCTTCAGTCCCTGGTGGCACAGGGTACATCAGGCAGTGCAGGGAGAGAGGCTGTGATGCCAGGGGGAGGAGGTAATAAGGCCACCAAGGCTCCCCCTCCAGTGCCTACTGTGGCCACCACACATCCTGGCCACTGATGGACCTGGCTGGAGCTCTGAGAGATTCTGGGGGCTCTCGCCTCCCCAGCCAGACAGGCTGTGCAGAGGGATGAGAGGGAGAACACTTTGCAAGAGACATCTCTTTCCAATGGCAAGAGAAGTGAATGGGGCTACTTTTCCCAGGGAGAGTTTAGCCATGCCACATCTGTCAGCAGCCCCTGAGAAAGAAGGAGGGACAGAGGAAAGAATTTTGGGGGGAAGGTGGTGGGGAGGGGGCCACTGACTATGGCTCTTCAGCTGGCTGGTACAGGCTTCCTTTAACTCCATAGTATATAGCCGGCTGCAGTGGACCTCCCCCAGGCTGCTTCCAACCAGCTCCTATGCCAGGGAGAGACTAGGACGACATAAAGCAGTGGGAATTGGGGTAGAGGGGCTGGAGAGAAAGAACAGAAAGGAGAGGAGGGAAAGGGGTGGCCTTGTGTTATAAAAGGCAGAGTCCTAGATCTTAAGTGCATCGTGTAAAATACAGCATGGAAGGGGGGTTAAAACTCATTATTGTAAGCAAACTGGTAGCATTATTCAGTAGTCAGTAAACAGAACATTAAATCTTTGTCCAGCGTGTTCAGAGGGGTCAGGAAGGGAGAGAGGGAGAAAAAAGGAGGAAGGAGAGGTGTGGATGTGTGTGTGAAGGGAGCAGGAACTCAGCCACTCTTGTGACTCCCATCTCCAGTCCGCATTTTCCGAGCCAGGATGACCTCCTTGGAGACCTTCTTGCGATCGCTGGCCAGCCCCAAGAGGCACATGAGGTCAATGAAGGCTGTGGTTAAGTTGAAGCGCCAGCCAAACTCACTAGTGGAGTAGTCATAGGGGAAGGTGTGGTGGTAGTTGTGGAAGCCTTCTCCTGCAAAACACGACCAGGGAGAGGATGTTGCAGAGCTCTAGATTGATGGCCCCTTTAACTTGGCCCAAAGCACCACATTCCTGAAGCAGGCTCTGGATTGAGTCCAGGCTCTTCTCAGCCCCTCTCGCCTCTGCAATCTACCCCACCTCATTTGGGTGTGCTCCAGCATGCCCAGGCTAGCCCACATGAGGCAGTGACAGTCACAGAGGACCTATGGTGCTTTACTGAAAAATGAATATGTGGCGAGGAACTGAGAAAGGCCCTGGCTCACCGATTGCACCAAAACACCAGGGGAATTGTAACAGGTTTTCCTCTGCCACCATGAGAAACCTAGTAGTGGTTCAGCTACCAGCTAGACCTGCAGCAAGTCCCCAGCAAGCAAGCCTAATAAATACTTCTGCAAAACTTGGCAGCCCTAATGCCAAATCCAAAGGACATTTCCAGATGGGAATAATGCAGACAGACTTCTATTAAGTGATCTACCCATCAGCAACCATCTGCTCCAGATGCACAACACTGTATTCAGTGCTCCCTCACCCCTTCAGTGACATCGCCTGGACTCCTGCCCCTACTGTCCTGAGTCTCTGTAGTTCAAACCCCTCCCTGCTAAAAATCCAGGAGCAGATCCTTCAGAGGTGGAAATCAGTGCAGCCCCAGTGATATACAGTGATGCAAACCAACTTGGGATTTGGGCCTGGGCGAACAGATCAGGGCAAGTCCTGACTCTGGGGTATACTTTCCTAGGCCCCAAAATTTCAGAAAACACATGAGATGATCTGGCTTGTCTTATCCTCAAGTACCTCCAAAATCATCAGCTGCCCAGAGAACGTGTCCAAATGTGCATCTGCTGGTTTTCAAATTGACAAATCTAAGACAGATAAGCAGAGACTGCAACATGGGTTTTTTAGTCTGGTGAATGTGGCAGAGAGACCTTCAAGTAGGGTAGATAAAATATTGCTATGAGATAAGGAGGTGCTAAGTATAGCAGAGTCATTTCCAGCCTGGAAAGAGGTTGGTGGGAGCTGATAACCCCACTGCCCTTATGTACTCACTGGCCAGCCTGGGAAACACCCCCGGATGCAAAGGCTGAAGGGGAATGGTGCAGGGGAAAATAGGGACACCTGCTTTCATAGAACTTCACAGAAGCAGCTTCAGTCCCAAAGGGCAGTCCACACTCTACAGTATACCCACAGCAAAAGACATGGATGCTGAACATACCTAGAGCCCCCAGGCTGACCAGGGGGTTCTCCCGTGGGTTGATGTACTGATCATACGGCCGGTTGCCAAACATGTGGGCAGCACTGTTCACTAGCCAAGTGGCATTGAGCCCTAGGGTGTAGCGCAGGATGGCTGGAATGAAGAAGCTGATGGTGATGGATTCATCCCAGAAGTACCAGGGCACTAAGGTGGGCAACATGAAGCACAGCAACACCACCGAGGGCTTGTAGTATCTGGAAAGGAAGGGACCAGGAGGAAAGCGCTCAGTGGTGGCAGCAGGACAGCAAGGGCTGGTTCAGTCCTCCCTTTGGAGGATTTACACTCAGCTATACAGGGAAAATTGAGTGCAGAAATACCTCACTCCTAAGACCTGTACCTTTTGTCCTGGATGTGCAGAAGCCATGCCCGCAGACTCCCAAGTCTTATCACCAGTCAGGAAACTCAAAGTCAAGTCCTGTTCTCCCTGTCTCAGTCTCACATGTGCACAAAGCAATATCCCAATCACCATGAGTCCAGACACCAGCTGCTGCTTTTGGCCTCCTCTGCCATCAAACAGATGAGCATGTGGGGTCTCTCACACTAAAGGCATGGGAGCAGAGAAAGCTGAACCACTCTGATCACCCATGAGAAAAATCACAGGCACAAAAAGGAGGGAAGCCATAAACTTTGCGTGATGTGTGTGGGATTGAACTAGGGACCTCCCGAGGGTGATTACTATATGGATTCGGTTGCCTATCCCTGCAGCCCTAGTGACAGGACCACCTCCTCTGGGGATCATCTCCACTATAGACCCAGGGAATTAAGAGATACCCCATCCAAGAGGCACCAGCAAAGCAAGACTGTCATTCCCAGTTACTGCCTCTTTCATGTCCTCACTTTCAACCCCTCTTTCACCACACTGTTTCCAGAAGACTTGTGGGAGAGGGGCCAGAGTAATTTCCTGGAAGGCACACCACATCATCTCCAAAGATGGCCCGCAGGCACCTGCAGGTGGGCTGTGGGCCAGCCAAAGCAGCAGCTGGGCTGTGTGCGGAGAAGGCATGGAGGTGCTTTGTGGAGGGAAGCTCAGCCTGCTGCTGGCAAGATGCTAAAGGATAGGTGGGCAAGAAAGAGGTGTGGGATGGCTGGAGGCATCACTAGCTACTGAGTGCTTCCTGTAGGAGTGGCACAACTTATTTCTCACAGTTCATCCTGCTGCAAAGCTTTGGGCAGACTGAAGACTCGTATTTCTCACAACGCCCTTAATCCCCCCATGCTCCATCAAAAGTGCTTGTGGGGTCCCTGCTCCATCCCACAATGGCTCTGTGCTGAGGCTGAACCCACCACTCACCTCCGCTGGAACATGACCACTTTGTCAGCCTTTATGTCACTCAGATCCAGCTTCTGGCCCTTCTCTATGACATCTGGGTGCTTGCGCACCAGCAGCCAGCCGATGTGGGAGAAGAAGAAGCCCCGCATGGCATTGTGTGGGTCCGCATCTGTCTCGGAGAACTTGTGATGGACACGGTGGTCCCGGACCCACTCATAGATGTCATTCTGCAAGGCAACAGGAGTGGAGACTAAGGGCCAGGGCGGGAGAAGTTTCCTTCAAATTGATAAAAGGGCCTAAAACATTTAGACACCCAAATCCCACTGACCTGAAAAAATCATAGGATCATAGAATAGTTAGGGCTGGAAAGGACCTTAAGATCATCTAGTTCCAACCCCCCTTCCATGGCCAGGGACACCTCACACTAAACCATATCACCCAAGGCCTCACCCAACCTGGTCTTGAACACTGCCAGGGATGGAGCATTCACAACCTCTCTGGGCAACCTATTCCAGTGCCTCACCACCATAACAGGAAAGAATTTCCTCCTTATATCCAATCTAAACTTCTCTTGTTTAAGTTTTAACCCGTTACCCCTTGTATCAGTCATTTTAATCTTTCATTAGCATTTGGAGATTTTTGGCTTTTAAAACAAAGTTTGGGGATTCTTTGCTCAAACTCTTCAGTTTTCTCTGAAATCTGCTTCTTTTGTGGGCTGCCTTTTCATCTTTTCAATTGGCTAACCTAGAGCTTTGGTTTGCACATCCTCTACAGCATCACAGGCTCTGACTGGTCAGCCTGTTCCTCCACCCCTGCCAGTGGCCAGTCAGTGCCTCCTCCCTCACACATTCTTGTTGGTCACTTGTCCCCAACCCTACACAGTGCCAGCTGGGATTGATCAACCTGCCCCTTGCCTTCACCCTGACATTTTCTGTGGGTCAGCCTGCCTTGCTTTTCCTGGGATTGCCAAATCAGACCTGTTAAACTTGGGGCAATGATTTTGTTATTTTTTTATTCAATTGGAAATCAAAACAGTCTTAAAATTAAGACCCCTCTTCAGAAATAAAATAAATACACCATTTCAATGACAGTTGTCAAAAACATCCCCCTTCAGCCCCGTAACCATTCTGTTGAGCTGGAAAATCAATAGTTTGAAAAATGTCAAAGCTTCCATCATTTGTATTACGAAATGATTGCTTTGGCCAGTTTTAAGAGGAGATATTAATGAGCCTATGTTCATTCCTTTATACCAAGATTTTGGTGAAACAGAGATCCAAGCCCACCTCTATTGCCTGTATTACACAAACGGCTCCTTAATGTACTAAGTACATAGGACTTTTCCTCAAAACACTTTGAAGGTAGAGAAGTGGCATAATCATCCCTACTTCTTGCCTGTAAAGACCAAGAGACTTATCTGCACAGGAAGCCTGTAGCAGAGAAACAACTCTTCAAGTCCCTCTCAAGTGCTGTAACTGTTCCTCGTTAACCTGAGATAACATTATTTACCTGCAGGCCATGCAATAAGCCAGTGATAGATATGGGCCAGGATTCAACTGTCATTTGTTTCCAAATACTGGGAACAGCTGCCTTCCTTCCAGCCAAATCCTGAACACCTCAGAGTATCTGATCTATGCACTGCTGTTAGCTAGAGCATGGCCACTCAGCGTTCCCTCAGAAGAGGGTAGCTCAGCAGCCTTCCCTATCTAGTAAGAAGAAAAATACAACCAGTACCCATGTAGGAAATGTTTTACCTGTGCCCCAGGTTTCCCTTTCATATTCCAGACCCTGCACAGTGTCATGTAACATGAGAAAGCCCAGCATTTTATCTTTCTATAGCTCTTACTTTGGGACCACCTCTTGCTGCAACCCTGTCTGAACATCACAGCTTTCCTGGCAAGCAAAACCTAGGAGAATGCCTCCTTCCTTGGGAATTACCAGCTACAGGCTATAACCAGAAGAGCTTCTGCTGTGCTGCAGCTGCCTGTCTTGCAGGTGGAAGAGGTGACTAGGTGCACATTTCCCAAATTCTCTGAAATCAAAAGCCTCAGATCCCTGAACAGCCAACAGGCATTTTCTGGAGGACCTCAGATAAGGTAATCTTCTCTGGCCTTAAAAGTTACTGGTCTGGTCTCAGAGCTGCTCCCACTAACAGGAAGGCGATAAATTGAAAATAAACCTCCTCTGGATCTCATTGAAAGTAACTGTTTAGAAAAAAAAAAATACACAGGGAACAGTCCTGAATTTTCAGTAAAACTTCGGATTAGTTCCTATTGAAGCTGAAATATTTGTCTGTCTCTCATCTTTGTCTACTCCGTCCACTACAGCAATAGCTCAGCAAATTCTTTCCCCCTCTGCCTTATAACCCTGTGAAAGAAAGATGGTCTTTGTACAGGACTAGCCAATGCAACCCATCCTGTTCTCTTGCTGAGTGCTGGACCAGATGCTGGAATCAGCACCTTGGTTGTTCCTCATGAAAGACTGGTTTGGTACTAACAGAATGGGAAAGTCAGTGGTGTTTTAGAAAGTTTTTCAAGGCTAAGAAAAAACCCAGACTCCATCCCCAGCCTGTTTTCATTAATGTCAATGAAGTGATATCCTCTATGGTTACACAGTGGGGAGAAACAAGATAATGTCTCTAAAATACTTGGTCCACTTGGGCTTTACCCTTCCCCCATACCTCAGCCGGAGAATTACTGAGGGGCACAGCACTGATGCTTTTCTCTTCCCCTTTTTCTAGCAGAAAGTGATGCACCCTGCCACCCTCCTGACTACTTCCTACAGACGAGCAAGCCTGTATGAAGTCCCTTCAAGCACAGTTGGAGGACAGAGTGCCATTACAGCTGCCTCCCAGCAGCAAACCCAAGAGGCCACCAGGATTTTTCTGTGCTGTGCCAATCTGGGTTTTCACTCTGACTTCTGAAAGGCCATCTCTTTTACAGTCCCAGTTTGTTTGCTGTGTGGACTGTGAAGTACTCTCTGAGTGGTTAGGCAATATCCTGAGGTGTTTATCAGCTGCCCACAGTCACTTGGGCCACTCTGAATAAGCTCAACCCTTCTCTCCTTGAAAAATCACTGACCCGGGGTGACTTTCTGGGAGCCAGTGGTGTGACTTACAACAGGGTTATTCATAACTATCACTCTTCTGAACCAGAGACGCGTCCCCCTAACTGCATAACCTCAGTAAGTCCTTGGTCTTTCTGCAACAGCAAATTCCACAGCCTGACTGCCTGGGCTGTGCAGGTGTTTCCCCCCTTATCAGCCATGCAGCAAGAGGAGGGTGAGGTAACACTAGGAGAGCACTTCGCACTTAGCACATTCATGGGAACAGGAGCAAGCATAGGGAGACTACACCTGGAGGGAAGGGTACATTCCTGCTTTGGAGAGCTTTCCTAGCCCTGGTGTTGGCCAACAGTCTTCTCCTCACCCAGTTCGTCTCAGAGTCAGCCTCTGATGGGACAAAGTGGAGACAATCTCTAGCACATATTAGATGGAAAAGACAGGTTGTTTCCTAACAAGAGGTAGTAGGAGGGAGGAATCTCTCCATCAGCTTGTGCCATGTATCTGAGACAGGGGTTCAGGGGAGCAAATCCTTCTGAGGAACAGAGGCATATGGAGGAGGTGCTTACCTGGAAGGCCATGGAGTTTACAATAGTCAGGAAGATCCGCAGGGGCAGCGTGGCTTTGTAGGACCGATGGCTCCAGAGGCGGTGAGATCCAGCTGTTATCCCAAGAGCACTCAGCAGGAAACACAGAAAAGCTGGAGAGAAAAAGAAAGTGGTACATCAGTTAGAGCAAGTCAGCCTGCAGCAGAGTTTCAGGCAGAGCAACACAAAGGCAGGCCTTGCCCCAAAGCTATATAAGCAAGAGAGGAACCCATGGAGAGCAGAGATCAGGGCAATGAAAATCAATGTGAGAGTACACAAGCTACAACAGGCTTCATAAGCAACATGTAAAAAATCACTTCAGTTCTTGAACTCTGACAAGGGAGGAGGCTCTCCTCCACAAGACTTGTCACAAGGGTTGGTTCTTCAGCATAGTGCCATCTGTCATGATGTAGGATTATCAAGATTGTATAAAGTGACTGCTTCCGTATAGCCCTGTGGTAACAGCTCTGCAGACCACCTCAGAACAGCTTCTCCCTTCCCTCCCACCCTGAATAATAACCTTTCTCACCACTCCTCACTAAATCTCATTTGCATTCTTTTCACCTCGTGGTGGTAGATGATCTTACAGTTCTTTGGGGGGATGACTCAAGCCCAGGGGTAGGCTTCTCTTCTGCTCTCTTTCTAAGCAGAAGCTGGCTAGAAGATTGGCTAGAAGATCTAACCTACCATCCCACTGAAGCCTGGGCTTCACCTTCAGCTACACCAGCCACTTAAAATCTGCCTAAAGGCTCCCATTCCAGGGTCTTTTTGCCACCCCCCCCCCCCCATCTGCTCAGCTCCAGCACCATGTATGTAAGGCCAACAATTCATTGTGAGAGCAGACACGGGCATTGCAAGTCATGCCCATTGCAGAAGCAGATGTGGCTGGGCTTCGAGGCTGCTCCATGTGTTCCTTCACCACACAGGTCAGAAGGTATGCCTTCTGACAGCTAGTAAAAAGCCACATCCCTTTCCCTCTGGATCATGTGTTTCTGTCTACCCTGGGCTGTGTGTTCCCACATGTCCTTGTGAGACCTCTGGAATATAACCTGGGTCCCAGCATCCTGTCCTAGAGCTAAAATGGAGAAAAGACACTTATAAGGTCATAGTAGCATTGCACTAGGACACTGGGAATAAGAAGAAAATTGTATCTGAAAATTAACTCTTTCTCTAAGAAGCTTCTAGGTCAGGAAATCTGGCGGAATGATGGAGGGCATTCAACAGTTGTTTTGCCCTGCAAGCTCAGACACTGAGAGGGACATCTGTGCATAGGTCAGCTGATCCATCTTAAGTCTCCTGGGGTAAAGGATGCCTTCTTATCAGTCCCTTAGGGAAAAACTCTTCCCTTTGTGTAAAATTTGCAGATTTCAGCCAATTGGATCAATCATGAAAACAGCTCCTTATTCTTACACATAAACCCATGGAGAGGAATTGCTGGAATGCTTGACAGTACTATTCAGTCCAGCCAAATGGCTCTAATCGAGCTTATCTTGAACCCAGAAAAATAGATACTCTGCCAGAAACTTGTCTGAAATCAGAGACCTGAGACATGCACAAGGCACTGTTAACCTGTTCTTTCATTCAAAATAATCCAGGCTTTATTTCTATCATCCTCTGCTCTCTCTTCCTCCTGTCACCTCCTTTTAATTCCAAACCTCATCTCTTATCTGCTAAAAGCCTGTCTCGGCTGATTTAACATCCTGTTCTGGCCCCATAAACTTCCATGAACCCTCCTCACTCCCATCCCACTGTGTAACAGTGATGTTCTCTCTCTGCTGGTCTGACTGTGATTTCCCTTCTTCATCTTCTCCTGTGGCTCTCTCACCTGCTGCCAAATGCAGCGCAGGCCTCAGACCAGCATACTTCTGCCTCGTGTCTCCCAGCACCTCTGTGGTCCCTTGGAGGGGCCAAGCAGTCACTGCTTATAGCTGATTTATAAGGACATGAAGAGGGGTGAAAATGCATGCAAATGAAGCGGGATCTGGCCTTTGCAATAAACAACAGAGCTGAGCAAAGCTCAAAAAGCTATCCAAGCCTGGAAGGGGTGAAGGCAGGGATGCTGGAGCAGGTCTCCCTTTTGTCTCCTCTTAATGACAGGAAAGTACTTATGCTGAACCCCTTGAAGCTCCATGATGTGGACTTGAAAGTTATGAACTAGCTCATGACCAGCTGTTTGTCTTAGATTTTAAATCCCATTTTAAACCAGTCACTATCCCCACAGGTTCATACAGAAAAGCAAACCTTGAAAAAACACTTAACATATGACTCCAATTTGCAGAACTTCTCTGGTCTAAGACACTACAATAACAACGAAACCCACTCCTGGATGTTTCAGGCACTTCCTACTAGCAGCAGAAGTGTGACTCACCACCATTCTTCCTCGATCATAAACAGCTATACCCTGCAAACCACATTTCATAGCACCTCTGGGCAACTTTATACCTACTGTGCACACCTCAGTAGCTGAGGTAGATTTCCAAGGGTGACAAGCAGTTTACAGCAGAGCTGAGAGTGGGAGCCAGGAGTCTGGATTTAAACTCCAACCTCTACAGACTCTATGAAAAACACCATACAGGGAGTCCAGGATAAACAACAGCAGCTTGCATTGGATGTGTGGTGCAGCTTGCTAGGGAAAGAGCCCAGATTTCCACTGTGGGGCAAGTAGGCATGTGTTAATGGTGCACTGGGGACAGAAATGAACTGTGCAATCTTTCATGGTCTTCAATAGCACAAGAACATAAATGCCAGGTTGAGTGAATACAGGCCCTATCTATAGCCCTCAGTTCAGGCTTCCCTCTCTGGTGAATCCTCACACACTGACTGGGAATTTTTTGGTGAAAGAGGCCTCCAGGAAGATGCCTCTGGCTGAGGACTGTGGTATTTAAGCTTTGCAGGTGGAAACTCATCTGTATCTCGTTTATACGGGTAATTTGCCTGTAGATATCCCCTTCAGGAGAAGATGATACCGGCAACAAAGACATATCAGCAAGCACAAGGAATAACAAAAGAGTCGTGGTGGGGACACCAACAGACCCAGAAACCAGTAAAACCAGTACTTGCTTTTGGGTAGCCTTACCTGAAAGCCTTTGTTAAAAATTTGGGAAAGTACCCCCTGCTTTTGGGTGCCCTGGCATAGAACAGTAATGTTCTTCATCCAAAGCCCATGAGCCTCAGCAGCTTGTTGACTTCTCTTGGAGCTGCATTGCAGGCCACTGCAATGGTCACAACTCTCCAGTTATAATCCTGTGCTGCCTTGCCTCTTGCCCATATGCAGCAGTTGCAGTTTATCTAAGAACCAGACACTTTCTGTGTGAAAGGAGCTGATTCTCAGTCTATGCTTATGTGGCATCCAGCCCCACAGAACCCTAAAGCCTACTTGAGGACTATTAGCTCCGTCAGCCACGCCTAAGAATTGTTGTGACAGTAAGTCTGGTGGAAAACAGATGAATACAGCTCCCTAATGATTCAGAGTGCTATCCCTGCAAACAGGTACAATAATGATCATTGCATAGCCAGGGAATCAGCATCTGTCACAGGGAAGAAGAAAAATTCGTTTAAGATCATCCAGTAAGAATGAAATTGGAAAGAGTAGAGAAGGTGAAATAAAGTAGCAGAGATTCTCACAGCTGCCCTGTGATGCTGCTCCAAACTGAAGGACTTAGGGACTCCATCAGCTGAGGCTTCAAAGACATCTTCCACACCATGTTTTGAAGTATCCAAGATCCAAAAGATTGTCAACTCACCGGTGATGTTTCCAATGACACATTTAACTGGGATACAAAGAATTATGACCACTGGCAGAAATATGCACTCAGTGTTTCAAAAATTACACCCAAAATATTCCCGGTTCAGTCCTGTCTGTATGACTCACTATCCTTTACCTCTTTAGGGCCCAGATTCAGACCTCAAGCTATGAGGAGAAGCCAGGAATGTGCTAAAGGTATTGTCACCTACAGTTAACACCATGGATGTTTACATGAAGAGGTGTCCCTGCTCCAGCAGGTGTCCTTGGGCTTCTTGCTCAGTGCAAGGGAAAACCACAGCTTTAGATTGTTCCCTCCATGCCTCCTAGTCACTGCTACCCAGGTAAGTCCTGCTAATCTCAGAAGAAGGATACCAAGAGCAAGGAAACATGTGCAGGCAGCATAAGGGGAACAGTGTTTAGAGGAAGCAATAGGAGCTTCTGTTGCTAAAACCTAACTTCCCCTGCACGCTTGAGGAGAAGCACACCATCCGCTAGTTAAGCCTGGAGAGGACACTAAGTGGGGAGGTGTTGCCAACACAGTCTTGATGGAATGTAACAAAAACCTTCTGTAAATGATTTGCTGGACACATCCAGGGTGGTGAGATTTTTGGACTGTCAGATTTGCCTATATTATCCATCAAGATTCTCCTGGGACCAAAGAGGATGCAGCAACAAAAAATGGTATCAACTCAAGCTTCTGGCACTGCTGACACTGAAGGGGGATGAGGTGTTGTCATTCACACATGAGCACTATGTCAGGAGGAACTGTCACTGTTTTATAGACACTGTTGGCCAGGCCAACAGGGGTTAAGACAAATATTGTCAGTCTGCTGCACCAGAGGGCCAGGAAGACAATCTACAAACTGTGTTTCCAGGGAGGGTCAAAGCAGTTAGAGAAGAAACTGTCTATCCCCTTTGCATCCTGTCCTTCTAGACTCAGTCTCTGTGCTGTTTGGCAAATGATGTGAAACCTGCCTGTGATCCCTGAAAAGACTGAGCAAGATTTCGTCAAGTGCAGTGGAGAAAACAGTAAATAGAAAGGGAGCTGGATAAAAAGCCAGTGCTGGAAGGGCTTGGAGAGCTCTCATTATGGCAAGCTCTCACCTGATCAACAGCCCCAGCTTGTTCTGGGAAGCTCTGTACCAGAAAGAGATCAGGGGATACAATGCACACAGCAATGCTGAACAGCAAACAATGATGAAGGCAAGGCTGGAGAGCTTGAAAGACAAAGAGGAATTAGCACACAGTGAAATGAAAACAAAAGAGGACACAGTCACCAATATAACTGGTTTCAGAGGGACAGGAACATCAAGGAGACAGTGGCCTGGATGAAGAGGGTATAACCAGGGGACTGCTCCTTATAATATAATATAGAAGGCAGATAGTCAGCTACCAGGCATCACAGCTGCCCGTAGCAGCACAGCAGAGAACATCTGGGGCCATATTAATTTTATGTTATATGTACATAGCATAAGGAAGAAATTATCTGAAAAACAAACAAAGAAACAAGCAAAAACCCCAGCAGCTCCAGAACTACCACTGAGAGAGCTGCTCTGCCCTAAGCCCAAGCTGTATTGCCGGGAGCAGTGTAAGTCTTTGCTGCTCTATCCTTGTATGTAAAATGGGAACCAAAGTCTTCTCCTTGCTACCAGTGGGTGCTGGGGAAATAACAGCAAGTCGCTGCAATGACAGCCACAAATGCCTTGTATATGCTAAAGAAAAGTATGAAGAGGGAAAAGGGCAGTGCATGAAGGAGCTGGAAGTCTTGCTGAGGTGCCAGACCTGTGGAGGATCAGTGTCTGAGCTCTCATCTGGAGGAGAATGGAGGAGCACTGGAGAGGAGAATGGACTGTTGGGGAAAGCTCTCTTTTGGCTGCATGGAAGATAGTTCTTTTCTAGAACAGGTGCCAGTGATGCATAACAGGGAGCTCTGTGGAGCTACTCCAGCTTTGGTAGGGCAGGGTGGATCTTCGGCCAGTCCAGAACAGTGCAGTCCCCCCGAATTCCACGTCCATCTACCATTCCCAGAGCATCTGTGACTCCAGAAGAAACCAAGGAGTCTTGTAGTGCATCACAGCGGCAGGAGAGCAACTGGCACTTCATAGAATCAGAATGGCTTGGGTGGGAAAGGACCTTAAACATCATCTAGTTCCAACCCCCCCTGGCATAGGCAGGGACACCTTCCACTAGACCAGGCTGCTCAAAGCCTCATCCAGCCTGGCACATCAGAGTTGACTGAAGGAAGAGAGCAGGAAGGACTGGCATCAGGTAGAAAGCAAGGCAGATTCCCACAAAATGCCATGGGATGCCATACAGACATCTTGAACAAGCACAGAGTTGTAAAGACTGCCTCAGAGACCATTTTGGGGTGAGTGGGGTTTACCAGAATGCAAAGCAGCACTAACCTTCTGAATCAAGATACTCAAGACTACTTGAGTATCTCAGGGGAGCTCAGTGAGAAGGGCTGGATGGATTTGGAAATCATAGTGCATCTCAGCAGCTTGAAATGAAACCAGTAAACCAAACTCACCTTGCCCCAGTGCCCTGAAGGTTGACTGCCTAGCCTCCAGCTGCGATCCCAGGCATGGGACTCACAGCAGGACTGAGAGCCCTGGAATGCTCCTCCAAGGTCATGCTGAGGCTGTATGCTCTGCCCAGCGCTACCACGCTGAAGAAAAGTGCAGCCTGTCAGGTTTTCACACAGGAAAGGCCCAGCAAAGTCTTCTTTCTTAATGTGCCCCCCCGAAAAAGGCCATGCTGGCTACACAGGGAACACATTGGTGCCTCTGCTTTTGCCTCTGACCAAGTCCAGGGACCTCCAATGATGCTCATCCCCTCTGCCTGTGAGAGCCTGAGATGGTCCAGGAGAAGAGTCAGTCTGGCTGTGCAATGGAGCCATCTCGTTCCCAGTCCCACTGTGATGCTTATTGCTCACAGCCATCGGGAGGACACACTGACAGTGTGACAGACCCTGTGGATTGCTCCAGGGCCTGCGCACAGCTGGCCTGACCAGGGTGCTGCTCCCAGCTGAGTACTCTGCAGGAGCACCACTGACAGCAAAAGCCATGCCAGCAGGTCTCAAATTAAACTGTCGCTATTCATTTCAGGATGTTGTGTTTCACAGGAAGGCAGGGGCTGGACACAAAGTCTCGACCTCCCCACTGGGAGCTGTTTGGCTTTGACTCCTCCAGAGGTCCACACAAAGGCTGGTGGAAAGTGAAGCTCCCCTGCAGCTTGGGACCCGCGCCCAGCTGCCTTTCAGACACTCAAAGAGGAGTTTTGGTTCCTGCCCAGGGCAAGGTCTCTGAGAAGGGAGAGCTTCGCCTAGCTACCTTCTGCTGGGTTGTGCTTTCCACTGGAATTCGCTGCCTGGAGAGCTGCTTATTTATATTTTGAAAGTTGTCAGGCTTAGTTCCGAGGTTATGGGGGCTAATCTGTGCTTTTGTAGGAATGACAAAAGACCTGAGCTTCACACTTAATTCTTGACTTTTATCTCCAGCACAACTGTATTTTGTCTCTCCTCATACACATGTGGAGGCTGTGTGGATCTACCTTCCCTTGGTAAGGACAGGAATGGCTCTTATCTTTGGGCAGCAGCCTCATGCCAAATCATGCTCTGTACCTCACCTCCCCAGTCACCCCTTAAAGTGCTGTTGCTAGCATCTTTCTTCCTAACTTTCTGGGACTGTCACAGTACTCCATCAAACATTTTCTGTGCTTCCTCCCACAAGTGGCTACTTCTAAGCCTAATGCCTGTGAATCAAGTTTGTTCTTTAAGCAGCCAAGCAGTCCCCCGCCAAATCCTCCCCTCTCATGCATGACCTTACTAGAAACATTATCAAGCCCTCCCACAAGCTGCTACAAAGCTGGCTGAGCAGCTTCTTCTAAGAGAACTCCACTTCCTCCTTTTTTCTCCCTGAGTCTGTGGGTCTGGAGGAGAAAACAAAATGCCACCCAACAGATTTGGGGTTTGCAGATGGCAATAAACAAATGGAGGAATGTGCTTACCCCATGCCAATGTCTGGATCTTTGCAGAAGGTATCAGTGTCAATGCGAATAGGCCCCCTAAATGGAGAAGGCTCATGAGGATGATATTCCTCCAGACGTATCGCATGGGAGGCTTGGGGCCCTCTTTCTCCCGGTAGGTCTCATCAAAGATATCATCTATCATGCCCCGGTCTCCTGCCAAGTCCTCATGATTGAGTACATTCTTCTCCATGACAGCATCCCCATTCTTGGTCACCCGGGAGGTGACAGTGCCGACAGTGGTGGTGCTGGAACCGGAGGAGAACTCCTTGGAGAGGCAGCAGTGGACATTTTCAAGAAAGAAAAGAAACAAAACAAGAAGTTTGTGGTTACCAATGCAGGGAATAGAAACACGAGCCTGTAGGCTTGGCAGTTCCAAAACTCGCAGCCTGCAGTTTACCTGGCAGGCTCCATTCTTTCAGCTTAGCCCTTGGCACCAGGAAGAGCCTACTCTACTCCCATGGAGTCATGGCCTGAAAGGGAGCCTGGTCTTTCCAGAGAGAGGAGGTGAATGGTGACCAGGGTACAGAAAGTAAAGAAAAGGACTTGAAAGCCAGGTTTTTTTTTTCCCCAGTGGCTTTGGTGAGATCATTTGCAGGCCTCACCTTCCAGGCTGGGATGTGGCAAGACCAACATGCTTGGAAATCAATGGATGGAAGCAGTCAATCGATGTACTTCCAGTTAGATCTACAGCTTCTATCCCACGTCTACTGCTAAGCCTCTTATTCCTGTCCCGCTTTCCACCCACAGGCAAACTGAGGCAAGGGAAGACAATCCTCTGAGCCAAGGCCACCAGCATGCAGAGAGGAAGTTTTAAGCAGCAAGTTGGCTCAGCCTGGCTCCTGGCTCTGACCGATAACTGTGACACCATTCCCTCCACACATGGTTGTTTGCCCTGGCGGAGGGACAGCCTGCCCAATCAGGCATGCATGACAAAAGGAGCAGGCAGGACTGACCCTAATGAGACATGTCACTGAACCCTGAATAACGGATTTCCATTTCCATCATGACAGCCGCGTGCTTACTGGTGCTCACAGCCCTTTGTCAGGCCTGAGCCCAAGCGTTGGATGGAGCTCAACCCCAGGGGTACCAAGCATGTGGGATGCAAGCGGTGGGAGGGCATGCTGTCCCCATCCTATGACCTACCAGGAACCTGGAAAGGACACATCCCTCTGGCCTGCACTGCTGCCTCCATGTGCAAAGGGGCACTAAAAGTCAGACAGCAGGAATGTGAGAGCTGAGGCCACAGGAGAGAGCATGGCCAAGCAGGAAAGCTCCTTTCCCAATAGAAACATCTCCTGAACTAACAGTAGATTGCCGTGTAGGCACCCAGGAGTCACAAGAGACCACCGACCTGCCATGGCCTAGTTACTTGAGGGAGGCATTAAAATCAGGCCAGGCAGCTTACGTGGCCACCCCAACTCCTCCCTTTCCCAAGGGTAGAAACTAGAAGGCTACAGACATACCTTCCTACAGGGAGGAGCTAGCAAAGCTGACAGATTCCCCAGGCTTGGGAAGTAAAATGATCTCTACAGAGAGAGATCTCTTAAGTTTTTCCTTCTGGAATCAAAGGCTAGAAAGGAAAAAACCTGGACACAAAAGTATCCTGCTGCTTTCACTGCACCCAGGCAGCTGTGGAGCTTGGGCCTGGCAACTCTGCATCCAGGCTACAGGCTGTCTCTGCCTGCTTTCCTACTTAATGTTTTGAGGATATGATACTCTGAGTTGGTGGAGAATTTAGAGGCAACACACCCCCCAAGCCCCCACCAAAAGAGCCATGAGAAATTGCTTCTAATCCAGAGATTAGGCAAGGAAAAGTCCTGTCCATTCCAAAGTGTCAGATATTCTCATCTGGCATTTTGGAAGGAAGGCACTATTTTCTTCCTTGGCTGGAAGACAATCTACCAAAAAGACCTAAGACTTGTCTATGCAGGAAAAATTCCCAACAGAGATCTGGTGGTATAATTAGACGGGTAACACTCCGCATATGGACATGCTGCTTCCAGAGTAAGAATGTGGGCTTGGAGTTGCATTTTTGTCCTCCGCGATAGCTTATGTCACTGTCAAAGTTACATAGGGGCAGTGGGAGGAGGAGGGAGAGTGCAAAGAAAACAGCAGAGAGGGAAAAAAAGGCTTCTTCCAGAGTCATAGTAGCCACACGAGGAATTTTACCAGCACACCCATGCTGCTGGAATACACTGAACTGGTGTAAACTGGTGAACTGGTCATTTCTCACATATATACTACTCTTAAATCAAATAGGCTATAAACACAGCTCCACCGTTACAGACTTGGTGGGGGGAGAGAATGGGGGGAAGAGGGAGAGTGGGCAGCTATTTAGCTGGAGACCAATGAAGTGAGGGGGTAATGAAAGAGGATTTTGACCCCTTTATGGCCATGGTGGCTTCTGCATCTCCTACCAAGGAAAATGGAATGGGGATTGATCTGGGGTCTAGGGCTGAGAGGGGGAGGAAGCCAGCTAAATCATTCTCATGAGCTCTCCCTGATTTCTGAGTGACTTCACAGCTCTCATCTGCAGAGCAGATGTGTTCCCCCACCTCCACCACCCCTCCCCAGCACTGAACACACCATAGGTGATCCTGGCACCTAGCCATCTTATACAACCAACTGCAGCTCAAAGGCTCTGACACTGGGCTCAGTCCAGGGGCCCCGGGGCACTGAATCTCTGGTCCAGTATATTTGAATATGCCCAACGTGACCCAGGGACAGGATTCTTTACAGCCTCCAGGATATGCCCCAAAATACATGCCAAGACTATGAAACTTGGGCTGAGCACACTGCCTTTGGCATCCATTTTAGGTGGGAAGAGGAGTAAAATTATTCATATCACAGCATCCCTGAAAGGTCAGGCCACCTGCACAAAAGGGCCGGGAGAGATCCCGCATGCTGGCAACAGGCAAGAGAGCAAGGTTGTGCTTTACCTCCACTCTTCCGGATAGAAGGGGGAAAGATGAGAAGGCGAGCACAGGAATACCAGGAATCAAGCCCCTGCCTCCTCTTGGGCAAAGAGTGGCTGCCAGGAGGGGCAAAAATAAGAACTCTGAAGATCAAACAGCTCTGTGTATCTTCCTGGTGCTGGCTTGTTATTCAGACCTTCTTAAGCCAAAAATGGGCAGTCTCCCTATTGTATGCTTGGTTGGCTCAGGCAATGAAGACACAGTCATTCATTTCATCTGGGCAGCTGCCTGCTTTCACCTTGCGCCTGTCCTAAGAACACTCCCTGCTGCAACATTTGGCTTGAAAACACTGCAAGTTAAAGCCCTTTCGTATAAAAAACTAAAATAAAATAAAATTAAAAAGATGCAACCCGGAGTATGAGTGTTACCGAAACCCCTAGTACCTCTTGGCACAAAAGGCTTTCCTGAACAGCCCCTGCCAGCACGCTTAGATGGATGTTTTCAGGATAAACCTGTATTTTATGCTCAGTCTCTCCGAGGGCACAGGCTCCGGGGAGCTAATCCCAGAGGCGGGTATCCCCGCTTCATTCACGTCTCCCCATGAGGCTCGGGTGATGTCTTCAGCTAGCACCGAATGACTTCACCTCATGACTGAGAAGCGGCACGGAGGGGACACACGCACACACATATGTGTGCATACGTGTGAGCGCACGCAACACGCGTGGATGGCCAGACCTTTTTTCCCCCAAGACAGCAGCAGCGCAGCGCTGCCGGAGCCTGCGGAAATGGAGGAAGCAGCGAGGGGAAGACAAAGCCCCCGGTCCCGCCGGCAGCCCCCCGCTTACCTCCTCCTGCAGCAAGTGAGCAGGCATGCGGCCGTTCTGTCCCTGCTCCTCAGCGGCGGTACGCGGGCGCGCAGGTCCCCGACGGTGGCGACGGGAGGAGGCTGCTTGTTGTCGGCCCCTCGCCCGGCGAGCTGTGCGGCTCGGGGAGGCGGGCGCGGAGGTATTTAAGCGGGGCTGCTCGCTTGGCGGCTCGTGGGGTTGGACTCTCCTCGCCCCGGCCTCCCGCTGACCCTCTGCCCGAGGCTGGGATGAGCAGGGTCAGCGCGGCGGGCGGCGAGCGGGCCCGGGAGGGGAGGGCGGGGCGGGCCGGGAGGCGGGAGGAAGGATGCTGAGGAAGAGGAGGATGACGCGGGCCAGGCTCTCGCATGATGCCTGCTGCTTTTTTTTTTTTTATGTTGCTTTTTTTTTCCCTTTTTTTTTTCTCCCTCTCTCCAGCCGATTGGCTGCGGGAAATTTGGTGCCACCTCAGCCTGCCCTCGCCATTGGCTGCCCGCAATCTGCTGTTCGCTCCCCGCGGCGCGCACCCTGCGCGCACCCTGTGCGCACGGCTGCGCGCACGTCCCAGGGAGCGCCGCTGGGAGGGCGGCTGCCGGCACCCCGCAGTCTCCGATACCGCTTTGGGGGCTGCCCCTAAGGAAGTCGGAGGCGCCCGAGGGGTGAGGGGTGTCGGGGGGCGGCGGAGGAGCACCGTGCCCCTTCCCAGCCGGCTACGGAGCGCAGAAGGGGCTTTGGCATCACACATCTGCTTTGTATAGGCAGTCTGCTTGGTTAACATTTTATATATATACGTATATGTATGTGTGTATGTATATACACAAATGTATATATAAATCATACAGAACTGCAAAGAAAAGCACACCCACAGCTGTATCTGGATAAGCACGTGTATCTGTGTAGGTGTTTATCTCAACATGGAAAATGCTGGCTGTAACCTTCTGAAAAGAATCCTGGCTGTTTTCCCCCAGAAAACAGTGCCTTTTGGCAGAAGGCGGAAGGAAAAAGGAGCAGCTCAGTTTGCTATCAGCTGTTTTCCTAATGCCAGCAATGGGAAAATCTAAGCTCTATCCCAAGGAGACCTTCACCATTAACAGTGAAAGAGGGCCCTCACAAATAAGACCTTGTGGGTGGCAGAGACTGGAGCAGTTGTCCCAGCCTCACCATGGTGCATTTAGCATCAAGTGTCTTAGTGCCATCACCTGAACCAGGACCTGTTTCAGGTCCTTCCCCCACTTACGGTGTGTCCTGCATTCAATCTCTGTCCCCTGCTGACATGAGTCATGCTGGGAGTGGAACAGGAATGTCAAAAGCCATTTTAAACTGGGCTCATATCCCTTCACACATATCCTGTCTGGACAGCTATCCTGCAGCGGTGGAGCTGACCACACGAGATGCAGATGGACAACCAAGATCTTGCAGAGTCTGTCCCTGGGCTGATCCTACTCAGACACAGCAGGTCTGATTCAGTGGCAGCTGTCAAAAGTGAACTGCATTGTAATCACTGGGAGGGAAAAGTGACAATGAAAAATAACAGTAGCCCAGTTGTTCTCCAGATTTAGAGGTGTCCATCAAAGGGGGAAAATACGTCTCTCCTTTTTCATTTCACTGTGATGGTTGAAGAGGTCTGAGAGGAGTCTGTGTTTAGGTTTTACATTACGAACTTGAGTCTTGCCTACCTCCTGAGACACAGTACTGAAACAGAGGGCCCACATCAGAAGATGTTCCTGTATGGTGAAAGCTGACCTGAGTCAGTGAGGGACTTTTAACTGTCCCTTTTTAAGAGTTTCCATCAAATGTTTGGTTAACACTACTGAGGGCTACTGAACACTGGGGAGAAACAGTGCTTTAAATAAAGATTCTACTTACTTTCTATGACTGGATGGCAGTGAGGCTTCTGGGATTCAAGGTTTGCAGTTTTGGAGGTACTCATACCCACCAGAGACATTTCCTTTTCCACCAGCTTCTTTCCTCAGACATGGAGCATGGCTAAAAGGGAACATACAGGGCAGCTAAACTTTGTCATCCTCTGAAATTAACACCATGTCAGGCTGCTTCCACACAACAGGAGTAAGTTTTCTGAATATTCCCCTGCCAAGTTACCCTGGGAGATGACCATCAGATTTTTTTCTTGCACAGAGGGACAGATGGATCTTGACCATTGTTGGGACTTCACTCAGCTGGCAGGTTTCAAGTCTTACATGCTATGGACAGCCCCGAGGAAGGCCATTCACAGCACATTCAGCTTCTCCAGTTGGCATATTGATTACTTTTGAAACAGGTTAAGTTCCTGCATGTGACCATGAGGTTCAGGCATTGACATCTTGATGAGGTGCATGGCACAGCTTTCCCAATGTTTCGATTGCAGCAGCTCCAGCCTTGCCTGTCAAAAGGCTTTTGACTGTTTGTGGGCTGGAGGCTTGGCTGTGCTACGCCAGCCAGGCTCCCTCCCACAGCAAGTTGCTGGCTGGGGCAATGCTAGCAGCCCTGGACCCCACCACCAGTCCCTGAAGGCTCCTGCCTCAGCTCTGCTGCTCAAGGCTTGGGGCTAAAGGGTGATCCCTGGGCAGCCCAGGTGGGAAACCAGAAAAAAGACACAGCAATACAGATCTAGCTGGGCTTTTCATGCTCTAGTTTCTGTCTTTCCAGACAGGCTTGTCCCTCCTTCCAGGGAGAGCTGCCCAGCTGAACCTTCAGCAGAAGTACATCACTGGTGGAGGTCACCAGCACCGCTTGTCAAAGATTCGGCTTCAGCAACCGTCCTCAGGAAACTGATTCAATTCTGCATCTGGTGACTCCTGCCTGAGGTCGCAGTCTTTCATAAATGAGCTGATGCAATGCCAGGGCTGTATCACAGGACAACGATGAGCAAAGCCATGCCACCAGCAGCACAGGGCATGAATTCAGCACAGGTTTCTTTAGAAATGCATGGTGTAATGTAAGGCTGTTTCCACCTTCTTGAGAACTCCTCCCAACAGGACTGATAACCCAGATGAGGCACTGTGCTAGTGAAAAGCTCTTGCAGAGTACTTTTTGTCAGAGGGTCTCACTGTTTTTTATCAAGACTGGGGGAAAGAGAGGCATAAACCTGCAGTGGGCTTTATCACAAGACACTATCTATGAGCAGAGCCCATGTGAGAAAGAACTGTGCATTCCTCTCCTGGGGTGCATTAGCAAGCCTGGTTCTGCTACCACAGTGCCAGGGTGCAGATAAAAGCTAAGGATGTTTCACAAAACTGTTTTCCTTCCTACTCTTCCCTCAAAACAAAAACAGAAAAGAAGTGTTGCTTTTCCATCTAGCAGTAGGTTTTGCAAGGAGATTTCATCTGGTGTCGACATCATGGAAATTTTAGTGCATCTCCTCAGTTACCGCCTCCAATAATGTTGAAAAAATCACACACAAAAAAGCTGACGGCAAGAGCTTTGCAAGGTTTGTTTTATGTTTGTTTAACTTCTCTAACAGCATTCCCTGTATCCCCCTTTTTCTTCTATTTCGTAACTGAAAGTTAAAAAAAGGAGTCTCAAATAAAGAGGGAATAAGCTGAAAACTGGGGAAAAGAGATGATCCCTACCCTTTCTCCTCTGCCAAAAAGAAAAGTTTGCAAAAATTCTCCTAGGATTATATTCTGCATCTCTTGTATTTTTTTCCTGAAGAAGTATGAAGCAGTTTCAGCTTTAGAGCATTTTCTACAGATACGAGAATCATGCCATGGGCCTTTCATCCAAGGAGAAGTGCAGGGGTGGCATTTTGTTGTTTCACCAGTCCACCTTTCTTCCCCCTGCCTCTAAAGAACCTGCTTTTCAAAGACATTGAGCCGTCTCTGCAGAGCAGATGAACACCAGTGTGGTTCACCATTGTTGCCAGCAGTTTCAGAGGTTAATAATGGTCCCTCTGGGTTTGACAGGTTGACTTCTGGGCACAGTTTTGCATTTCAGAGAAATGAAGTGTGGGCCCATGCTACGGAATGAGTTGGGACAAGACCTGGGTCAGATTATGGGAGTTCGGAGTTAATGCCTGCTTGAAAGGTGTTGGCAACTACAGGTGTTTCAGGGTTGTCAGTCACAGGATTTCAGATGGCAGCTTATGGGGTCACCACCCTTGCTTAATATTGCTTTCTCCCCTGTGCTTTCTTTTGAAACCCGGTGACCCTGCATTACATTTTCACACATGCTTCCTTGGCTGGACAGGTAGCAAATGTCTTTCCTTTTAGAAATGGAAAGCTGAGACTCTTGTGTAGTCACCTGGCTCTAGAAACTGCGACTCGAGGAGTGTGATATCACAGCATTTATCAAAAGTGAGATTTGTGTTTACAAGAATTGGCATTGCTTTCTGTCATGTTTCCCACCCTCCTTACAACATCGCCTGCTACTCTATGAGTTCAGTATATCCCTCAGACTCCTGAAGATCCTGTGCTTCATCCTCACCCTTAAAGCAATGCTAAATTAGGTATGGGTTACCTGAGCTCTTCAGTTAGCAAGTTGGGAGCTCCCATAACAGCAGCAGAGGCCAAACCCCCAGCTGTTTTCCCGCAGCTGCCTGGGGAAGGGCCAGGGCTGAAGGAAGAAGCTGGTGGTGCTCACTTTGCCACCCCACTGCTGCTGAGTGGGAAATGTGGGGTTAGAGGGAGGTGATAAGGTAGCAGAAATCACTGGTGTCTCATTGCCGGGGTCTAAGGGAAAGCAGAGGTAATGGGCGTGATAGACCATGCCTCCAGGCTGTGACCAGGATGGCTACATTCCCTGTCACTGGTGCAGTAATCTTATCAGCACCAAGAATTAGGTTGATAACACTGTGGTGACTAGGATAGGCTGCTTATCGCTGCACTTTGCCCCGTCTCTTGCTGCCTGACTCAGTGCCAGACCCCCTGCTCCTCCTCCCCCCCTCCTGTTACCCCAAACAGGCTTTGCTCCCAGTCCTTGGGGTGCCAGCAGCAAGAACCCAGCCGGTATTGTCTAAACAGGGCCATACAATGGGCAGCATTGTTGACGGTGGATTTTTGCCCTCATTAAAGATGACCTCACAGCCCACCCCTTGGCCACTTCAGGGACTGTGAGGCTATCTTTTGAACTCGGGGAAATAAACTGGGAGAGGAGGGGGTGAAAGGGATGGGGAGCAGGGGAACACAACGGTCTTTGTGTTGCCACCCTCTCTTTAGCACTGGTGCTCTCTAGTGTCTTTCTACCCACATCAGATACGGCAGGCCAGGTGCCAGGGAGCCGGCATGCCGAGCGCCCTTCCTCACCCTCTGCAGTCTGTGTTTGCTGGGCAGCGACATCC